GTTATGCAGTAAGTTAAAACAAATCCATGCATGACTGTGGTTTATTTTACACATAAAAATGGCCGCCAGGAAGCCATCTTGAATTAGATCATGACAAGAAAGTTTTAGCATGATGCATTTTGTAATGAAATGTACAATTTTGTATGAGATATCAAAGTACAATGTACATGAATGTAGTGAGATGAAGCAGGATAACAGAGAAGTACATTGTGACAGTAGAAAATATTCTGGTGATAAAACACAGATATAAATACAGTATCAGTATAGTTACTTTCACCTCAACTCCAACAGGAATGTCAACAAAGAAAAGGAATTTAATATGCTCTAATGAAAGCCCATGTACATATGTAAAGCAGCAATGTTTGACTTTGTTGTACTGCATGTGTGAGTACCTTAACTTTGTCTAATTTAGCAAATATGGTATTTACTTTTCTCTATGGAGATCTTTAATTTTAACGCCTGACAGCGTTTCTAATTCTTCTATAGATCCAATACAAACAACTTCTTCTTGATCGTCACTCATCCAGATCGGTATTGGTGTCCCCCAGTAGCGGTTACGTGACACGGCCCAATCATGGGCATCTCGTAACCAATTAGCAAATCGCTTTTCTTTCACAAATTCAGGCACCCTTCAGGAAGATATAAATGCGATTAGAAACCATTTCACTGTGATGACACTGTCAATGACTTATGAAATCATCAAGGTTTTAAAATGTGCAACTTTGAATTACAGTGGCAATATTCGACTATAGTTACCATTTATATCATTGTACATATCGGTATATTTTCAGTTCAAAAATAAGCAAGCATAAATGTCCTGAACATTTAAATGCTACAACAATTGCACCACATCACGTTTGATATAGAGACATATGCAACGCCGGTAAAATACATTGTTGTTTACACAAAATTCGAACACACGCTAACACAACGGCAGTAGTGCTTTAACCTACCAATAAGTTTTCTGATTGTTATCCAATAATTTCTCTACCAATTCTTCAACTCTGATAAACCAACTTGGCACTCCTTTATAAATTAATGGTGTTTCTGATCTCCAGCAGAAAGGATAGCTATGCTTACAAGTACTCTGATCTACCAGTCGGCCATGTTGTTTCAACCATTTTGTGATATGTTTGTCAGCATCCTGTAATGCAATAAAAATGTATCCCATGATGTATCACATCAAAAACGGACTAGAGACCTTTTTGAGAGCACCATATGATAAAGACTGTGATGAGGAACTTATCGATGCATTATGATTCTCATAAAAAAATTTGAATATTTTTATACAATTTATTTGTTAATGTTTAACCAAATGGACATATTTGTCAGTTGGTTACAATTCTCGATCACAATCTGTGAAAACAAGATAAAAATATAGCTGCATAGCAGCGATGACGGGTTTCGAGCCTGCGTGGCTCATGGCAAATAATGGATATTCCGCCAACTGCGGGATCGCGCGCGCGAGAGTGAGAGTGAGATTACGCCATAGCAACGGTTGCTGGCAGGTCAAGCTTTAGAACAAAATGGCGTCGTGACATGTAGACCACACACGCGACTCGGCAACATTTAGAACTGATTTTCGCTATTAATTGATTATGGATGCTTTTGAAAAGCTCACAGTCTCGAGGCTAAAAGACTTTCTTCGCAAATTTGGCGTGTCCACTGCAAATTATAGAAAGAATATTTTAGTTTCGCTGGCAAAAGCAGTCCACAGTTTAGGGCTAGACGAAGACCCGGATATGACAAGACGCGATCCAAAGAGGGACGTCAGTGACTGACTAAAACAGCTAGGATGTGATTTTACAGACCCTCTTACCCACCCCGGTTACAGTACTGACTTTTCAGACGTTCCTGACTTTAGTTTGAGTGATGTTTTAATTATCTTATGTGCCACAGGTCTGACTATGACCGGAAGAAGCTCCGAGCATACAAATCATTTGAAGACTACAAACTTTGTTTTGACGGACATGTCTTAGATTTACAATATTCGCGTATTTCTCAGAGCAGCATGCTAGGGGCTTTTAAAGCTCAGGTGAAGCCGACCCAGAAGGACAAAACGTACCTCAACAAACCAACGTACAACTCATGGTTTCTAATAGACAAGGAACATTCCGAAATAATGGCTGCTTATTGTGAATGTCCTGGCGGGTAAGTGTAACTGTAATAATGTCATGTTTATTAAAATTAATACCATTGCAGACCACTGTGTTAAGCATAAAATCGTAGCTGTTATGTTATGTTATATCTAACATCGTTTTTCCACATGGAGATTTACAAGAGCTCAGTAGTCTATTTTTCACATAACAAAGGTTGCACTCAGTATGTGCAAACACCAAACAAATCGGATAGTGAAAATTATTATCATATTTATGATTGAGCAAAAATGTTAAAGATCTACAGTCTATTTTATGTAAACTTAAGACGATGAAATATGTTTTACCATTGTCAATATTGGCTCTTTTATCAGTAGTCCTATATTAAAAATATTATTTTTGCATTTTTTAAGTTTGTTTTATTTTATTTGTTACCTTACTAAACCCACAGATTGTTAAGCTGCATTATAAAGTTAAACTTTTGACTCTAACCTAAATTATTTATTCTTACAGTGCAGATGGTGTATGTCGCAATATTGCTGCAGCCCTCTATGAATATGAAACATTTGAAAAGACTTCAGTCACTGATGGGCCCTGTCAGTGGAAAAAACGTCCAATGGGTCATGATGTGCCTGTTCCTGTAAAGAAACTAAGAATAGAATCTGCTTGGTATGTTTATTATCACAGCTAATTAATATGTCCTCTGCAGTAGAACACTCTACTGTAATTTTTTTAATTTCAACCTGTACTTTTTTCCAGTTATGGTGTACAGAACATTGCTCAGAGAGACAGTGATTTTGACCCGAGACACCCTGATGACAGAAGACCCCTGACACTGTTGCAACAAGAGCAGTTTGCCAAGGATCTTGCACAGGTGGGTCAAATGTCTAAATGCTGTTATTGTCAAACATAAATATTTTTCATGATACAATTTAAGGTTCTGTAATATTTATAAATGTAGTCCTGTATAAGAAATACTTTTTTTGTTTATTTTAATGAGAAATAAATTTGTTTAAAATAGTTTCTACAAGTAAAACCAACATGCATTCCGCTCACAATTATCTAAAAAAAATTTAAATGGGAATTTTTATTTTAACTGTTCTACTTTTTAACTCTTTATTGCAGATAGTACCAACAGCTGCGACTGTGTCCTTGCTGATGCCAATACAAGATTTGACACACAAAGTTACAAAGAATGAACCTAATGAAGCCTGCTTAAAGCTCTCAATGCCAACAGTTGCTTGCAACTTCTTAAAAACTCACCTACCTGGTAACTTGGATGCAATATTAACAATAATACACTGATATGATACAGAAGCTAGTTTTTTTTATGGTCAGTTTGGTGTGCCTAGACTTTTTGCAATAGCATAGTGACATATTTTTTTCTATGCGCAATTAGATTTGTACATAGATGCTCTAGGACAATGTACAAATATGATCAGTTTTGCGTTGAAATCTGTTTATATAAATTCCCTAATTAGCATAATAATTCATAATTGTTTGGTTCTGATCACATTTCAATGAAACTTGGTACATAGATAGTTTGTTGCATTGTGCAGACCTTATTAGTTTTACACTCCGTTCATTTTAATTTTCTGATTTGCATAATTAGTTTTCAGCTTTTCCATCAATATCTCAAGTACAAGTAATTTTTAATTAATTTTTACTGTGTCTCTAATACTCTCAGCACACAGGAGTTTTTTCTAAGCTATTTGCTTTGATATTTAATTTTATTTAATAGACTTTACCTATTTTGTATGTACATATTTTAAATTTGTGATGCAACTATGAATAAACCACAATATTTATCTTCTTAAAAATGTGTCTTTATTGTACATGTATTTTAACATACAAGGAGAAAAAATGTAGAACAAGACATGATATTACAGTCCCTGTTATTTGATTATAAAGTAGTACAAGGGACATCTGCAAACAGGTGAATGAATATGTAATCTATGCAGGTACAACTCATCATAAAGTGATTTCCCAGAATCTAGTTTTGTACTGACAACTAAAAACTTCCACTGACCCATGTTCAGAATCTCAGAGTACACAAGTGCAACAAAACTATTTGTCATACATGTATACTTGCTTAAGAAACTGCATTCATTAATCTGGGTGAACCTTGATGTACATGACTTCTTTGTTAATTCAGGACATATATTACCAGGACCTAGGTTTGTTTCAAAATCATCACTGGGCATCAGAATTATTTTCATGTTCATGTTGAAAGAGTTCCTTTTGTACCGCCCATCCCCAATCCTACCCCTACACCCCAGCACTCCCCATTTAATTATACATTCCCCTCTTAAGGACATCTATAGTTATCTAGAGGGGGCATATACAAATGAATAGGGTAAATGGTAGTGAGTGTTATGGATGGGGGGTACAAAAGGAACTCTTGCCTCAAATACAATTTGTTATTAACACAGTAAGGTTTATTATTTAAAATGTATTCATTGTACATAGAACAACATCTGTTAATTGTTAAACAATTGTAGCTATTTTTTCAGAGCAAGTACATGTAATTCGAGGAGCGTGGTCATTACTGTCAGAAGCACATCTACTCGTGTTAAGGTGTAATCCTACCAAATGCGAACCAAATCAGCTCAATGGTTGCTGAGATCAAAGGAAATAATTGGATTTAGCTAAATTGCATATTTTTTGGGTTGGGTAATAATAACCTAAAAGATGACTTACGATGATTAGGAAGCTATTTTGAAATTTGGTTCTGAATTCTGAAAAGTATACACTACTGATTGAATACATTTGGTAAAACTTGTGAATTTGAAATTAGGAATTCATGAATCTGAATTTAACAGGATCAATTATTCTGAGCATGCTCAGTTGCCCTGTCAGTGTAGTAGGGAGAGGTAATTTTGGATGAAAATTTTGAAAAGACCCACTTAGGATCTTCAGATTTGGAAAAAAAAATTACATGCCTATGTAACACATACTTGTTCATCAACCTGCCAAGTTTCATTGACATCTGCTGCAGAGTCCCTGAGAAAATGTGAGAGATAACTTGCAGCAATTTCAAAATGAGACAAAAAGTAAATCTAGTACTCCCCTTTCAGGCTTCGTCTGAACGGGGACTAAAAAATCTTTAAAGGAGTGTCCGTAGAATTTTTACAGAAAAACTTAAGTACACCACCATCTCTCTACTTCACAAGTACATTGTCAATGTTACAGAGCTGGGCACAAAGTTGTACAGTCTGATTCATTGTCTTTTTGGATTTTAATGGAAAGATACCCTGTAGAATTTTGAAAGTTTTTAAACGACCAATTGCTCTCTCAACATGAATGCGTGCACTGGCAATTCGCTTTGTCTTGGTTACTGCTGCACTGCTGAGTTGCTTGTTCAAAGTGGCTCCTTGAAAGGCAAGTAGGTCACGTATCAAAAATCCCCGATCAGCCATAATATCATCACCTGTCTTCACTTTGTCCAAAAAACCACTATCTTTCACAATCTGCTTGTCAGACACTGATCCAGTCCACAAATCAGACACAAAGGTAAAAGCTCCAGTGGGTGAAATTGCTACAAGTGCCTTGAATGTATTGTGGTGCTTATAAGATGACCAGGTAATCCTTTGTGAAGAGGGGATTGATGGCTTTTGAAAAAAAAATTCTGTGCAGTCAAATGGCGACAGTTCTTTTGAAGTGTCGAAATGCTGCTGGCAGAGATGCTCTTACTTGGTCTTGTGTGACCATTACCACCAACAAAATGTAAAGAACACACGTACGTGTCTTGTTTGATTCGATGTCTTCCGAAGTCGTCACCACGAGAACACGCACTGATCCACCGATCACATTTTTCCGGTTGGCGTTTCGGCTTCGGAAAACGTGCAAAAAACACTCCATTCATGTAATCCTTCTTTTCAAACCTCGAATCACTCTTACATTCGCCATACGCACAACGTTCAACTCCCATTGATGCTTTAAATGCCGATACTGTTGAGTGATTGTTGTTTACAACACTGCAATCAATATGGTTGCCACCGTCGTGAATGAAAAGCTTGACCTTTGTCGCCCGGTTGCTAAGTGCGTGATTTAGGTCACACGAGATTTCGTATGATCTCGCTTAACGCGGAATATGGCTTATTGGCAGGTTGGATTTAAATGCCTTTGACATTTATATCGGAAATAAGTTTGTGTTGGCAGCAATTCAGTGATTTATGATGAATTTATCAAAATTTAAAAAACATTTTGGAACTCAAAATGCTAATGAAAACCATTCGACCAATCACAGCAACTGTGATTTTGATTAATATAATTATGAAATGACCTTAGTGTCAACCAATCAGCTTCGTGAGCAGCACAGAAAAGCTCCCCAATAGAGAATCTAAACTCTTTCACTGTAATTTTAAGACACTGAGTGAAAGTAGTCTTCATGAATTTTTACTAATTTACACAAACATAAATTCTAGCAACAAAAATGTAACATGTTACAAGCAAACGCTGATATTATTTGATGTCATCATGCAGCAAAATTTTTTGGAAGAATTGTTCAGTCGTATTTTTTTTAAATTTCTGATAAATAAAATCAGACTAACTTGGGAAGTTCAAAAGCATGTTGTCGTTGCTGAACCATCTTTAATTTTCAAGATATAATGTTCCAGCTTTCATATATTGAAAGTGGGATAAACATGAAAAGAGTGAGTGGGCAATGTGCAGTATTTGTAGAGAACATCTACCAGCCAAAACATCACAGTGTTTAAGCCCTATTGATAAACATTTGCATATAGTCTGTGAAAAGACTGATAGTACCGTAAAATCTGTATTAGAAGCCGCATCCCTAATAGAAGTCGCACACATTCTTTTTAAACAATTGGGAACCAAAAAATCATCATTTCTCATATGTGTAGATGCTCTAATAGAAGCCGCACCCCCTCTATTGGATTGTACCATTTTAATAGAAGCCGCGGTTTCTAATACAGATTTTAC